GAGGTATTAAATGATGAGTTTAACAGGACAATGTGTTCTTTCAGTCAGCACATCTATATTTACAGCCTGCCCCACTGGGAAAGTATCATCACCAGCCATTTTAAGGTGGAGCTGAGTTAATAGAGGTTACTTTGGGACTTTGTTAAATGGTAATCAAACACTCGCTGTTACAGCATGGAATAATTGCCCAAATGTGATGTGAAAGTGCAGCCTGCTAAAAAGAAGTGCAACAGGGAGGAGTGAAGCCTGATGGGCCCATCACTGAGGAGGGTATTGACCTGACACCAATGTGAAAGCCTTAAAATCCTGATGAGCCTAGTTTGTGGAGATGCCAGCTCACAGTTTTGAGGTTTTTCATTATTAACATTGGAGTTACATTATAATGTATTTGTGAAAAAAGTAACATTTTGGAGCTTTAATAATAAACCAAAAAACCTTTTATATGAGTATGTTTATTAGCACAGAACCAAATAATTGTATATTGTTAGTTGGGGTCACACAATAGACCATCAGTACCATCAGACCAACAGCACGTCTGCTCAGCGGGAGTTTGAATTTCTTGGACATTCATGCATTCGGTAAGCACACATGTAGAAAATACCTAAAAGACAAAGTCATAGTTGTTAAATTGGGACATATTCATGAACATTATTTGTTTATTACAAAGTTCTCACCTGAAAAGAAAGTTAGCACCACTGCCACCCAGCCCATGATGTAAGACCAGGAGAAGCGCCAGCTGCCGTAACGTTTCCCATAGTAATTCACAGTCACTCCTGTGTAGACAGCCATTGCCAGCAACACAAAAAAGCCTGAAACATTTATCATTATCGACATTATTGTAGTAAGGTGCATGCAATCAAACGTCAATCAAGCATGCTTTTTGGTTATAATCTTTTCTTGAAATAAACAATAAAAACAAAATAAACTGCAAAAGGTGGTAGCCGTGGACAATATTGTTAGCACTGTTGAGTACAAGTTTGAATGTGAACTTTCGACTTACAAGAGATGAAAAAGAGGATACCAGCTGCAAATGTCTTATCAAAGCTGTCAAAGGATGAGTAGTGGATAAAAGCCATGACACCAATTACAATCCCGATGAAGCAGGCAAGCAGCGAGAGGATCATGAATGCTCGAGTTGCGTCCCAATAGGCTAAATACAAGATAATAGTATAAACTTAGTACAAAAATTGGTATTCAAAATGACGTGACATTTGTGTGTTTGAGATATCAGACAGTGACATCACATTTGCCCAGCTCTTACCAATGCTGTCAGTGTGTGTCATGCACTTCCCGGGCACGCAGTATCTCCACAGACCCTGGTGCATGTAATTGCTGGCATGACGGTACTGCATCCAGTAATCTGTTGCCGTGGAGACGATCAAAAGGATGTTGCCGACACCAGCGCAAAACAACCCGCCGCCCATGAAGCTGTACATCCTTCCTGACAGAGAGAGAGAGATGTATCAGCGCTTTCAAAAATATGTTTTCTTTTGAAACAATGACTGTTTCATTTGGTAAGTCATGTTATAGAATGTAAAAAAATATATATCTTTAGTAGAAAACATATACCAGATAAGTATGAAGAGTAAGAATGCTTTCTGCCTGTAACCCCATGCTAAAAACAGAGGGAGGAGTAGAATGTGTTTTTTTTCCAAATTAAAAAAATGCTGTCTGCAAGTACAACCATGCGATTGTAAAGAAGGTAATTTCATCTCTATAATTGCCAAAACTAATTTAGGGGCAATACTCTTTTAAAGGCAAAAACTGCTCTGAGCGTGTGGCAGTAACCACAGCATGATGAGAGATTTGGACAGAAGGGGCTGATTTACATCTTCGTGCCATAGGTTCTTGATATTAGCATGGATGAAACTGATAGAGAACTCCAAGTCTGTTTTTCATGAGGGAACAATGTTGTATGAAAAAAGCTAAAAAAATCTTTAATCTGTGTGGCTATGTCTGCGAAGTAAGTAACAAAGTGCTTTACACATGTGGGCATTTCTCTCTCACTCCACACAGCCGTGGGAGCAATGAGACAGCATCATCCTTAATTTGCGAAGTTTAGCTTCTATGGGCTATCAAGTTTACAACTAAACACTAAAGAAAGTCTGTACCATCTTCAGAAGCCGAGCTCGACTCATTGAGTGAGTTCAAACACCAAGGCCGGACTCTGGACTGAAATGTAACTTTTAAAAAGTACATAATATGGTATACGCACATACGCGCACGCACGCACACACGCACACGCACATACGCACACACACTCACGCACACACACACACACACACACACACACACACACACACACACGCACACACTCATGCACACACACACTTCAAATGTCAATGCTGCGAAGATGTTTTTACACTGCGATTTTATGAGTACTGAATCTGATCTTGGTCACTCGTTTTGCTTGCCTTTCCACGGAGCTGACCCCTAACCCGTCCTGAGAGCATTGCATGCACGTCTCCATGGAAACTGGTCTTTTTTCATGTCTTGGAACATAACAGATTAATCGTTACTACTGCATGACGACCCTCCACCAAAAAGATAGATGTGTCTAAAGCATATATACAAGATCCCAGCAGTTTGGCTGTATGCTCAATAACAGCTACAATTATACATACATTTACAAGTTATTACAATAGGTAACAAAAGTATAGAATCAAAAGTATATCACCACAACTAACCTTTCAATTTTCCTTTGAAATAAGTGAAGATATGAGTTTTTTGGGCTGTCAGTGCACACAGGAGCCCAATAATGTCCGGTTGGCAGCAGAGTTGTGTTTGTGCGTATAACCCAGACGGACGAGCAGCTGTAGAGACAAAAGGCCTGTGAACCGCAGAGCAGGAGTTTTGTGTTTTAGGGAATCTGCTGAAAATACAAAACCACTAAAGCGTCAGAATACTGATGACACAGGTGTTTGAAAGCAGTCAAACGAATGGACCTCCAACCCACTGATCACATATGAGTTTGTGTGTATGGCTGGTCTGTTGTTTGTGGATTTCTCAAAAGCAAAATAATAATGATTAAAACATTTAAGATGAAGAAGATATAAGGGGCTTTCTGAGAAACAACATTCTAGAGGTAGAAGCAGTAAATCATGAAACTGTCCATTTAAAAGGTAAGGTAGGATAAGGTCCACTTTAATTATCCCTATGTCCCTACGCAGGCATGGGGAGAACATGCAAACTCCAATCAGAAAGACCCTGTTCCGACTGGATTTTGAACCAAGGACCTTTTTTCTGCCACCGTGCCGCCTATATTACAGTTGTACGGAAACAAACATGAAACCCTAAAAGACAATTATCGTCTTTTTCACTGAGTAATTGCAAAATAGAGAAAATGTAGCAACTGAGGTTGAACCTGTTGTGAACCACCTGGTTAAACAAAAACTCAAGGTCAGAGTGAAGCAGGAGGTGCGTGTGGGAGGATGAGCTTTGGTGACAATAGAAGAAAGGCCTTTATACAGACATGGTGAAAAATCAAAGTATTTGTATATGTATAAGAGGAAAGTGCAATGTCCTCGTTTGTGGCTTCCTGTCAGTCACAATGACAATAACATTCAATCTGATTCTAATATATTGTGTAATGTATTATTGTACAGTCTAAAATCACAAGTCTCAGTAAAGTGTTTTATTTCTTGAATATTTATATTTGTCAAATTGTTGATGAGAAAATCAAATAAGTCATTGTTCAAAATAGGCAAACTAATTGTAACATTGTCCAATCTTGTCCGCTCACACTGAGGAATCAGGGGCCAGGGTCCTGCCAATGCTTCACACTATAATGATCACATTTACTCTTTAGGTGCCAAATCTGAACTGATACATGAGCTTCTGAATCCAGGGCACTTTCTATACAGCGATCTGGCTTCCCATAAATCTCTCCCTACATTTGTTTAAAAATGCTGAATGGGTAGCACAGGTTTGGACTTTTTATTTATTTATTATTACCTGATTTTATTTTGATATATATTTGTTCTCTTCTCACTGTCCGTTTAATTGTTGTCTGTCCATTTAACCCCATTTGTCTTGTCCCTGGATTAAGTTTTTACTTTTGGATTTCTTTTCCTTGTGGCCTTTACTAAAAGATGTCATTATTCAGTTCTGCTTATGGGTCTGTTCTTGTTTTATCTTTAGAAAAGGCACATCAATAAAAATGACAGGCAGTTCAAAAAGTTGTTACTCACAACCTTTTTATTTGGCTACTGTAGAATTCAGCATGAAAGTCTTCTCGGATCATTTTGAAGTTTTGCTACATTTCTTTCCACCATTTATTTCTGTTATTGATGTTAGAAGTCCCTGATCTCTTAGAGTTTCAGGGCTCCAAGTTGCATTGCAGGTCTTCATGTTGCGATCCCTCGGCTGATTCAAATTACGAAATCATTCTATGAGCACAATAATAAACTGCAGTTGCTATATTCTAACCTCAAAGAATTGTGCACGTTTCAGATTTCCCCACAAGATGGCGCACTTTATCAGGAGGAGCCAGTGTGCCAAATGAATGGTGAACATAAAAAACTTTGCAAATCTGGAAACAGGACTCTGAGGGGACTTGAAACTTGAGACAAAACCCGGTATTCTGGTACAAATGTTTTATTGATCTTTACAAAAAGACAACACACAGTGGTGAGGTACAGTTATACAGAGTAGTCTCCCCACGACACATGCACATTCATACCACGTACAAATCCCAGTTTTACAGCCGCTCAAACATCAAGACAAGTCAATGATACATTCAGTAATCCTCTGTACGACATGTGTATGTAATGTTCAAAAATATTGTGTTCTTTTAATTCTTAAGCAATGTAACTTTACTTTACATATATAAAAATGTAAATTGTCCTCTTGACTGTACATGAATGTGTGGGCAACAAATCACCAAAAATAAAGATAAAACACTAATATGTTTGCAGTAAATAAAGCAGACGCACAGGCAGATGGCATGTCTCAGTTCTTGTTTCTCTGGTGCCATGGCAACACACGATAGACGTCACAGGCTACATGAGATTCTGGGGAGAAAAGGAGGGTTTTATTTTTAGGACGCTTTTGGTGCTCCACATGGGGTCCCAATTATAAAAATACTGTATATTGTCCTTTTTGTTTTTATGTTTTCATTCAAATCAAAACTGTCTTAGCATTAATCAACATTATTTAATTAAGGCCATGAAATAAAAGATGATTAATGAAGCGAAAATAACATTTTTTGGACAATGCTTTTATAACAATTCATCGTTTCGTTATCATTCCCTCCTCTGATCGGTAGGGTTCATTAATTTGTTCATTTGCGCCGTAACTCAAAAGGTTATGGGTGAATTTGGATGTAGTTTTCAGGAAAGCTCAGTGATGGCACAATGAAAAAGTGATTTTGTGACAGATCACGGTCTGAAAGCTGTCTTGATTGTGTTGTCGCTTTCTGTCCTCTCCCTTGCTCTGACCCAAAAACTAAACTATGACCCCGAGGCCGCCCCCCTCTGCGCTCTTTGTCAAACGCAGCCACAGAATGGCTACTGACAGAGAAGACTGAAAACCGGAGACTTTTTGTAAGTTTGGAGGAAGATATTTCAGTGACACTATACTAGCTCCTTCTGTACCTGAACCTCACAATTCATCTTCAAAGTTTTTTATAAATCTGTCTACAGTTAGAGGAGTTTATGAATGTATGCAGATTTATGCAACTAAAACATGGAACAGTGTACCTGAAAACGTGAGACAGGCCTCTTCTTTTCTAATCCAGGTTAAAACAGTCTCATTCTTTTCATGTTTTGTTGATCACTTTGAGTTGCATTGTGCTTGAACTGTGCTCTACAGATAAACGTGCCTATCTTTGCCTATGAACACACTATTTTGTTTTTCCAGTGTCGAGAGAACCAGACTTTTTTGCCCCCAACAAATCTCTTAATTCACTATTTCACTGTCTCTCAGCTGAAATCTCTTTCCCAAGTGAATGTAAGAATATAACCCCAAGATAAATATAAAAAATACACTTTTTTAAGTAGGATAGAATACAATATGTACCTCATCTTTTTTCTGCCTGGTTGTGGAGGGCCTTGGGAGGACTGTCCCGCCCAGAGAGCCGTACCCAGACATCTGCAGGAAAGTTGACTGAGCATATGGGTTTACATTCTCATCTGCAAAAACACAGGGACGAGGCAGTTACACAGCAGTACAGTAAATTCTATTCCATTGCTGAGTTTTTGTTGTTTACTGCTGAAACAAGAGGGATCACAATAAAACGTATACAAAGGTTTGATATGATGAATGGGCATAATTATACAGCACATCAAACCGGAACAATTGATCACACAAATAAACTAGCGTAAGCACCATATGGTCGAGACAGGCTGTCTTGCCTATGGACACATCAACAGTTTGCATCTATTAGAGCTGGAATCACACCTGCCAACCTGTCCATGTTTAAGAGCAGAAAATGTATCACCGAATCAGCTCAGAGGATGCTCACTCAGCCGCATTATGGACTATGCATGTTTTTACTACACACCTTGCAGCGTCCATTGTGTCTGTCGTGTCCGGTGTGGTGAAAAGTGTCCCGCCCTTCGCTGCAGACTTGACGGGTCGCCGCCGTCTCTCCGCTCGGTGCTGTCAGTTCGACTGTGGCCCAGAACATCTGCTAACAGCTTTGGGGAGTCTTCGGTGGGGGGAGGGGCAGGCAGAGGGGGCAGGCCTGAATACAATTTTTCACACAACAGAGCAGCAATAATGCAGCTTGATTCAGAAATTGCTCCAGATAACTTTTCTTCTATAGCTATAGGGGTATACCTGCCAGTCCCTGCAGGTCTCTGCGGACTTGCACATCTCTAGACTCCTTCTTCTTGCTCCTTGGTCTGTGCACCATGGCGGCAGAGCTCAGATCAGAAGGGGACTTTTCTGGGACAGATTAGAAGTAACAGTTTTTCTATGTGATTATACATAACACCACCACCACAATTTTATATGACCCTTTGCTATTGAGATCACAATTATCCGGTTGCATTCTCTGCTGCTAAAGTACAAGATAAACATCTGTAAATACCTCCTGCTGACTACAGTGTGTACTATCTAGTGTATATCATTGAGACAAGTGCAATTATAGCTCCAGTGTTTTACTTTTTCATGTGTGCAACCTGAGTGCTATTATTTCCTCCTTATTTTATTCTGCTGTAATGTGCGCAACGATGACCTTGAGATTTCCCCACTGTGGGACGATTAAAGGTCTATCTTATCTTATCTTATAAAAACAAGTTCATGTTTACTGTGTCATCCAGCTAACTTCAACCCCTGCCAATATATACTGTATCTGTATGCTGTATAACATTACATACATTTGTTTTGGTTATGGCACAACATTTCCTTATATTGAGGTATTTTAGTTGAGAAAGTTGATGTGCTGGGCCCTCTTCCTACAAAGTTTGTAGTGAGAGGGCCCAGCACAAGAGCTGCTGGGTTGTGCTCGGTGTGACTTTGGACTAAAAACCTTTACAGTTGGGTTCAAGTTTACTGAGGCCTTGAGGCAACATGTAGGTATTAAACATAAATGTGATTAAAATGGAGCTTAAACTAACCCTTAACAAAAGTATCACTGCTGAAAGTGTCTGCCCAGTGGCTGCTGTGGTAGACGTTGTCCTCATTGTGTGTAAACAGATCAGGGTTGGACTGTGAGATCTGGGAGCTGGGGCGCTGACGAGACAAAAGGTCAAGAGTCTGAGGATGTGAAGTGTGGTTGGACAGGCAGCCGTCCTTCGGAGGTGAGCTCTGATGTACAGACGAGTACGATGCTTCATTTTGTTTAGAAATGGAAAGTTCTTCTTTCGAGGAGTCCATCAAATAGGTCCTGGCAGGTAGTGGAGGGCACCAGTCTTCATCTTCATCATCAAGACTAAATAAAAGACATATAAGGAATGAGTCACTTTACACCTGATGTTCAGAGGTTACTGTGTATGCAAACACAAATATCACTACAATACAGCAAATAAAACAATGACAAACCTTTGCAACTAATGTTTTATGATATAACTAATAAAAGCCACATCGAGTATGTAGCATACAAATATGCAGTACATAAAAAACTGCAAAAAAACCCAAAACTGGTTGTACCACACCATAGTACAAATGACATTTTGTCTGGAGGTGCTCCATTGAGCTCCGTTTACAGGTGGGAGGGGTTAACTCCTTTTGCAGATTATAACGATTGGATCTGAGTTTACCGTCACGTATGTAACGCGCCCGAGTCTGTTGCTAGCATTTAGCATTTAGCCTACCCATCTCCTTTGCCGCTAACGGAGCCCGTGGGGAGTAGCGGCACAATCTTTGCCAGCGATTACATTTGCTAAACATTCCTATTGCTCCGGGTTCAATTTCTTGATAGAACCAGACCGGATTACTTTACTATCGCAATTTTCGCCATTACCAAACTACAACCTTCCTGTTCGACGCAAACTCTTGACATCACCCACAACTAACTACAACACCTGCCTTTCGCGCTCGCTGATTGGTCGGTCGAAATTCAACCGATTGTAATCGCTAACATAGGGACTAGACCCAGACGTTACATGCAGTGAAATGATGATTGAACGGAGTGTATGGACGGCAGGTTACTCTGGCCTGGGTTCACATTTTATTTAGTGTCCAAAGTAAGTAAGTAAGTAAGTAAGTAAGTAAGTAAGTATGTTCTGCGTTTACGTTTTGAAACCTGATGAAAATGAGTGAATTGTCTACATTTCTATTATAATTTTGGACTAGCCATGCACTCTACACTGACATCCTCTAGATGCCTTGCTATAAGTGGTCCCTCTCCTTTGTCCTGGTGTAGATTCTTCTGGGTTTGTCTCTGTATGTATCTTGTATAAATGTTTAGTGTAATTAAATGTCCTCTTTTAAATGGAATTTGATTTAAAGCTTAATCTTCAAAAAATTTACATACGTATAACAATGTGGGTACATGGCCCGCACACCCACAGTAGAAATGGTTTGATCCAGTTACAGCAAACAGAACATGCTTCATGCGCAATCAAACTAAATTGGACAAGATAGATTGATAGATAGATTGATACTCTATTGATAACTGTAGGAGAAATTCAGGTGCCCAGTAGCGGCAAAAATAAAAAAATAAAAATTGATCATTCTAAAAAGCTAAAAACAGTCATTTATAAATTAGGCAAGTTATCCAGAAAATAGACTAGGCAAGTTATCCGGATTTCACCAGTGCTTTATAAACATACTCTCAAGTCACCGGCCCCCTCGTGTCTCTCTCTCCCGAGGGTCTCTGTCAAAAGCACGGGAAAAGATATTTATGTCACATGAATGTCACGTGAAGCGCTAAACATCCCTGATTTGGTCATTACTGTCAAAATGAATGTAATGATGGACATGTCACTAAAAAAGCAAGGTACTAATTTCAGCTGTCAGACACACGTTAAGGTCATTAGCGAAGACATGGCAGCTCTCAGATGTCACTCTTGCCTCTGCGTTTCTCGTTTGTCACATTTAGTTTAGACCCGGCGCTCCCCTCGGTTCCCCCACAGCCCAATGTATGCAGCGCCCGGAGACACGACTGCAACCATTTCACCCGAGCCCCAGACTTTGACAGCACAGAGATACAGGGGAAGGTTTGATGTCTGCCAGCCTTAACTCCTGCTGTCATTTAGAGAGAGCCTTGAAGTTATTAATATTCACTCTAAATGAAGATTTGACAGTGCGCTGAAAGGAAGGAACACATTGTGCAGGACTTGAGATGAAACTAAACGTAATTATCGTACCTGTTTAGTTGGTCGGGGTGGGTCTTTGCGCTGTTAAGGTCCTTAGTGTCGGAAAGCGGCAGTGACAGCACGTCCACCCATGTTAGAGCAGTCGGCTGAGGCAAGGACCTTTGCTTTAGTTTGTCTGGGAATACAGCAAAAATTAATTACTAATATGCTTTGAGAAATGGGAATACAGCACATATTATGCAGGGAACAATTTTGTTTAATTCTGAGAAACAGGAAGAATGGTAATTTCTGGAACAATGACAAATGGGGATCCAGTATACTGTATGAAAAAAATCTTATAAAAGCAGGCATAAGTAATCACCTTTTTCTCTTTTACTGTACAACTCATAGCTATTACAAGGAATCACTCATGTGCATTGGAACTTAGCAAATGGCCTTGCATAACTCAAATTAACCACACAATATGCACAGATTATGTACGTACAGTCACAATGAATGAATACAATTACAGTAAATACAGGGATTACATCTGGGGGCAGCTGTGGCAATAACAGTTACACTTCATGCTGCATCACTCCCAGAAGTGACCCAGAATCTGTGATAGATAGAAGTATAAAATGTAATCTCCCGTAAAAATACAAATGAGGCATGAGAGCCAGGAATGTTGTGGACCGGGACTTATCTTTAGAATGATCAGTCAATTGATCCAAAAATTATTAATGAAACTGTTTGAAGCTAAACAGTTGAGCTAAGGTTATTTCTTATGAATCATCACTATCTGCGTTTTGTGTTCGTTATTTAGAATTATATAAAATAGGTATGCCTAGGTAGCCAGAGTAAAAGCAGTTTCAAAAAACGTTGTGTATTGCCCCTTTACTAACGGATATTTCAAGCACATGAGAATAATGTTCAACTTCTCCATTGCAAGATTTGAACTTCTCACCATTGTTCTTCTTGTTGTACTGAAGCTTGGCGTACTCTGAGCCCGACTGGCCGGACTGGAGCGTCCAGTGGTCCAGATCCATGAGGCCAGTGTTGTACAGAGCCGGATTGCTGCTGTAGGGGTCTGGGCCTTGGGAGAACGACTTGGTGGAGTACGTGTCGTAATAAGCCAACAGGTTGTCGTCTGCTGTCACGTTAATTGTGCTGTAGATTGGACTGTCGTTGGAGGCCGTGCTTCTTTTCTCTGATTGGCCAGTGTAGTTCATTATACCTGTGAAAAAGCAATATAGCAAAGTGCCTTTTTAGTGGTGCTTATGCAGGTCAAGTGTGGTAGAGCAAGGTGTTACTAGTTTGACTTCAATCCTTTTGTTTTGAGCCATGAAAAAAAATAACATTCTGCGGCATACAGAAAGAACAGTACCCACACACACATGGACAACACAAGAACGAAGAAAAAAAAGGTACACACAAAACAAAAAAAGGAGAATCTGTACAAAATATAGGTTCCTGGTGTCTTTCTAGTTACACACATACATACACACATACATACACACATACATACATACATACATACACACATATACATATATACGTATATGTTTGCACTGGACACATGTAAACCCTTGATTGTGGTTGGAGACTAAAATCTCCAGTTGCTTAACACTATTGAAAAGGACTATTTCTCTGTCTGGAATTGGGAGTTATAGGAGCCTGTCAGGATACAATTTCACAGTTTAACAGTACAATCAACCACAGAATTTACAGAACAATATGTAACTAAAGCGGTCTTCGTTAGTATGCAAGTAATCTTTTTATGTATGATAGTGCATTTGTAACACCAAGGTCACACAAAGCCCTTCACATTTAGTGATATTGTTTGATTCATGCACAATATATTACATTAATAGAATAAAAATCATCACTATATATTGAGATAAAGTAACCATTATTGGCTTTTACAATCATCAAAAATAAAAGCCTGATCTGTCAGTGACCACAGTGCATAACTCTCACAACACCTTTTTGTACACAATAAATAGCTAAGTTAAATGTGTTTGAAAAGACTCTTACTGTTGTAGTATTTTTCTGAGTCCACTTTCCCTGAGCAGCGGTCCATAGAGTCCTTGTTATTATGCATGAGATTTGGAGTTGGCCACGAGTCAGCCAGCCATGGGTAGTTTCCCATATTGGACCCCAACAAACCAGGTCTATTGAAACGAATATGTTAAAATATTATCTTTTATATTTTAACGAGGTGTATAAGTGATGCTTCTTACCCTCCATTGATGATTCCAGAGCCTTCGCTGTGAGCAAACCCCACTGTAAGACAAGACAAATGTTCAGTGATTCATTTTAATGTTTATTCATCATTGATAATTAACCTACAAAAAATTAGTTCTGGCATTTATTCAACAACCATTCACTCACAGGTCCAGGGGCAGAGAGTTTAGAATGAACATTTAATACACTTTAGCTAAGAACAATGGAATTACTTTGTAACTTGTGGTGTCAAAATCAATAGAATGACAGATCAGTAGTATATTTATTGTACTTTTAATTAAGTTATTATGTATACACCTTTTGAGAGAGATGAGTACTGGTTTCAGAATGCTTATGTCTCTAATGGGCATTCTCTAACTTCACCCATTTGTCTCACAATCAATAATATATAGCGTTCAACATAATATTCTTCAACTTAAGCCAGCTTTCAGGCTGTGTGTACATTATCCTCCTGAGACCCTGCGACCTCATACGAGGACATTACATTTTTGCCTCTTGGCACAATGATACTAAATTTTTTACATCCTTGACCTGATGGCCACATTTAGGGACACTGCCCGCGCCATCTTGTGGTGATATGATAGAATTACACTTAAGGCAGTAGGAAAAAAATGGTGGCAATATCAGCAAAAGACTTCTACAAGAGTTTACAGAAGAAAAATGCCCCAGGTAAAAATTCTATCAACATTTTATGAATGAAATCAATTTTTTTATGCACAATAATGTCTCTAGCTTCATATGGAGTTTGAAATTTGACAAATTTTGATTGTAGTAGCAGGCTAGGATGTCAGTAAAAGTGAAGCACTCGTTTGAGGACGCTAGGACTATGTACCGCTATCTGTTTAGCTAACCGTGTGGAAGATTTAGATGAAGTTACAGTTGTAAATAGTTATTTTGAATCACACATTTGCTTAGTTATGTGGTTTACAGTTGTAAATAGTATATTTAAGTACTAAGTGGTATATGCTAAGTATTGTTTAGTGTTGCTAAATTCTAAATCATAAACAATATAGCTAGGCTATAGCTAGCACATGATAGCCAAGCTATGAAGTGTCACTGATATACTGTAGATTTTGATGTTGGTTTTTAACATTATCATTACAGGCACACTTTCATTGTCAAGAGCAGAACAATTGCTGTTGGCAATTGCAGACAACTCTGAGATAGAGGACTTCTCAGATGGGGATGATTGTATCATCATCTCATACCTGTCAGTCATCTTCTGGTGTTTCCCACGGGGAGAGGCGGCGAGCTGGGGTGGCCATACTCATTGCCCCCCATCTCAGCCGCCATGTGTTGGAGTTCTCCCCGGTGAATGAGAGGGTCGCGTCCCTCCGCCTCCGGGTGGGACAAGTCTCCCATTGTTGTGACGGCCTACGGGCCTAACGGCAGTGCCGAGTTCCTGCCTTCTTGGAGTCCTTGGGAGGGGTACTGGACGGTGCACCTCCCGGGGACTCCGTTATTCTCCTGGGGGACTTCAACGCCCATGTGGGAAATGCCAGTGACACTTGGAGAGGGGTGATCGGGAAGAACGGCCCCCCTGATCTGAACCCGAGCGGTGTTCAGTTGTTGGACTTCTGTGCCAGTCACGGTCTGTCCATCACGAACACCATGTTCGAGCACAAGGGTGTCCACCAGTGCACGTGGCACCAGGACACCCTAGGCCGGAGGTTGATGATCGACTTTGTTGTCGTATCATCTGACCTTCGACCGCGTGTCTCGGACACTTGGGTAAAGAGAGGGGAGGAGCTGTCAACCGATCATCACCTGGTCGTGAGTTGGATCCGCTGGCAGGGGAAGAAGCCGGTCAGACCTGGCAGACCCAAGCGTATAGTGAGGGTCTGCTGGGAACGTCTCGCTGAGCCCCCTGTCAGACGGACTTTCAACTCACACTTCCGGGAGAGCTTCTCCCAGGACCCAGAGGAGGGGGACATTGAGTCCGAGTGGACCATGTTCTCTTCCTCTATCACCAATAAAGCGGCTCGTAGCTGTGGTCGCAAGGTCTCTGGTGCTGGTCCCGGCGGCAATCCCCGAACCCGGTGGTGGACACCGGCAGTAAGGGATGCCGTCAGGCTGAAGAAGGAGTCCTATCGAGCAATGATGGTTTGTGGGACTCCGGAGGCAGCTGTCCAGTACCGGCAGGCCAAGCGTGCCGCGGCCCGGGCTGTTGCAGAGGCAAAAACCCGACACTGGGAGGAGTTCGGAGAGTCCATGGAGCATGACTATCGGTCGCCCTCAAAAAGGTTATGGCAAACCCTCCGGCGCCTCAGGAGGGGGAAGCAGTGCTTTGCCAACACCGTGTATGGTGCGGGTGGAGAGCTGCTGACCTCGACTGGGGATATTGTAATCCTAACTCTAACCCGGAGATGGTAGCCTTGAAAAACCCCATGCGTTGCAGAGCACAAGACTGCATTGGAAAATCCTGTGTCCGATGCATGACATGCAATGTGTACCTGTGCTTGCAAAGTGAATGCAACTGCTTTGCAGCATTTCACACTTGCCAATAGGGCTCTTCCAAACAGGCAGACAGATTGCTTTCTAGAAAAAGAGAGGGAGCTAGTTTGAAAAAAGCCCCGGTTCATAAGCTGTTCAGCAGAATTTTCTGTTTTAGGACTGTTAATAATATTTGCCATTATTTGTTCTAGTATTGTATTTATCAATTCAATTCAGCCATATTGAAGGCTTGAAATAGACAGTTTACACAGTATTTTGCGGTTTTATTTATGTATAGCCAATTTTTTGTCATGTGGATGAATGAAGAAAAAGGGAACCCAAATTGCAGGACTGAAAATCAAAGTAATTTAATAAAATAAATCCAAGGTAATGTAAAAACAGAACTGAAGACAGGACAAACATTGTGGAGACAATGGACGGACAACAAGTGAGGAAGGGCACAGGGTATATACACACACACAGGGACACACAGGGACACACAGGTGAATCACATTAGGGCGGGGCAACAATCAACAGGACAGGCAGGATTCAAACTCAACCAGGTCAAAATGTCCACACCATGACATTTTTAGGCTTTGAAGATAGAGCTGTTTGGATTTTATGTCTAACTTTGATGTTTACATTTTTCAAATAAACTGTTATATACTATTTTAGACCAATGGAGTCTATTTGTATTGTATAGTAAGGTCGACCCACTGTCCTCATGTGAGGACATTGATTTTTGAGAGAAGTACTAATTGGATCAAGCTGAAATTTTGAATTTCAACTAATTAGGACCTTCCGGCCTAAAAGATCATACATTTTCTCTTTAGGTTATGAGAGACCCACTGTCCTCATACGAGGACATGTTTTTTCTCAAAAACTACTTCCTGTACAAAATCACAATTTAGGTATTATACTTATTGGGTCCTACTTATCCTAAATAGCAAAAAAATATATAAAATGCACACCAGACAAATGCTCGGGTCTCAGGAGGTTAAGATGGATACAGCATGTAATATTGACCTAACTGTAACTTTGAGAACAATGAAAGATCTATAAGAACAGCCATCAGCACAAATCAATGTAAGTAATTTGATTAAGAAATGGACTGAAATACAAGCACAGCAACTGTTCGCTGACTGGCCACTTTAGAATCTTTCATAGTGAGATTGTCCTTCACTGGTTTGATTACACACATGAGTTAAAGAATGCGTAAAACAGTTATGAATTTACAATCGGTGATGTAATTTGGGTTGGACATTTGTGCCGTCTCTGCTGCCACTGCAACTCGGCAACGGACAAAGCAGAAGAAAATGATGGATGGATATAATTTGCAGGTATAGCTGGTAACAGTGGGTATGGTGGGATAAACAATGCATTTATATTAATCCATATATATGTATACTGTAGTCGTTGCCTCAAAGTTTTCCTTCCTTGTTGCTTGTGCAAATGTCAAAGTCAAAAAACAAGTATGCCTGTATGTTTATTTGTCCCTTGAAGCAAGCAGCCAAAAAAAAAATTAAGACAGAGGTTACAATTTTCTGATAAAGCCGACTGTCTTCAGATGATTCTGTTTACTAGACTCGAGATACAAGGCGTATCTCGGGGGGATAGAGATACACTTTAATTAATGGAATTTACAGCTCTACAAAAGTTGAAATTAAAAACATTTATCACAGCATAGGATGTTTTCAATGCTTCAGTGAAACATTTGTCACCGGAATTTCTTGAAACATTAACCAGTTTCTTTTTTACGTGCTCCAGTAGCAACATATAAATAGCTTTCAAATAATAGATTTGTCAATGGAACAACCGTAAAAAGGACTTGTTTTACTATACTACTAAAATGAAAAGGACACAGGCCACACTTGTAATGAGAAAATGGTTTCAATCCATAGACTGTTCAATCCTTTACAGCAAAAATCATCACCATACTACATTCATCCATCCATCTATCTTCCTCCTCTTTATCCGTTGCCTGGTCGTGGGGGCAGCAGTTTAAGCAGAAATACCCAGACTTCCCAATCAACACACTTCCTTCAGCTCATTGGGGGGAATCCCGAGGCGTTCCCAGGCCAGCTGAGAGACATAGTCCCTCCAAACTGTCCTGGGTCATCCCTTGGTCTCCTCCCTGTGGGTCGTGATCATAACCAACTCAACTGCTCCCCTCGACGTGGAGAAGCATCGGCTCTACTCAGAGCTCCTCCCATGTGACCGAGCTCCTCATCCTATCTTAAGGAAACACCTAGCTTCTCTGCGGAGGAAACTTATTTTGACCGCATAGTTAACTCAATTCAATTCAATTTTGCATGTATTGAAAAGACATGTTTTATTGTCTGTTTGAATTGCGTGTGAAGCACTTTGGGTTACAGTACATTGTAGGAATTGTGCTTTATAAATACATTTGATTGATTGATTTATATAGCCCTAATTCACAAAAGAAACAGATTAGCGATTAAAAGAATTAGCACACAGGAGATGCAATAATAAAACAGTCACATAAGAGTCACTGGTGCACACTGCATTTGCTCACCTGCTGGTGTGTATGCAAATGAAGTCGTGTAATGCCCGAGTTGTTTCCTTCGTCTGTGTCGACAATACAACCAACCACTGAAGCCCATTAGCACGAGCCACGCCGCTACGCCCAGGCCCGCCATGAAGGCCGGCTGGCAGATAACATTTGTGATCTGCTCCGATAAGCTGAAATTGCTGCTTTTCTTCACTGTGGAGTCGAGCGACAGAGCTGTGAAAAATAAAGTCGACATTCATATATTTCTGTGCAAGGACACACAAGTATGTAATAACTCTGACTTATGTGTTTTGTAAGTTTCTCTATTATGTAACAAGCGCTCTTGGCTCCAACCTTTGTGAACTTCACTTTGAAAATATGAAATCTCTTTTGAAAAATGGTGCGATACGGAGTAAGATTTGGAGTAAGCAATCTTTCAAGTAACCTTTTCTATGTTGGTGACACGTCAATATAGAGAAAGACCATCAAACAGTGCTGAGAAAATTCGCAATGATCTCAGGTGAAGATCACTAATAACAGCTGTCAAGGAAGACTCATCAAACGATATCAGAGAGTGTAAGACAAGTAAACTTAAGGCCTATTTAACATTGATCCATTGGCCTCTTGATAATAGTTTACTGTCACAAGCAACAGATACTCCAATTACTGTAAGGGTAATATCAATCCAGGTGCTAATGGTACAAACAAGGACAGGACAGAGACCAGCTCTGAGTCCAGGACAGAGACCCGTAATGAGACAACACATTATATGTCATCAATGTAACTTTATGAATTTACTTTCATGTTGGGGAATAATTAAAATCAGCTTTGTGTGCAACAAGATTACGTTCAACTCTGCAACATAGACATTTAATTTCACCAAAGAACATGATATATCACTTGCATTAATTGTATTATATTATTTTTGAACAATTGCCATATTTCATAAATATTCATCCAGTCTCATGGGAAATTTTTTTGCACATTGTGTTGTTTCTATATGTGCACATCATTTCAAGTCATCATTTGAAAATAAACTTTTGACTTTGTAGAACGTAACATAAATTATATAGTAACATTGATGCAAAAGTAAAAGTAGCTGACATAATACCAGTGAAAATTATAAAAAAGTCCATAATGCCATACGGCCCACTACTGTAAAACATGAAAAGAAGGCAGACAAACATTCAGTCATTGATAAACAATTACATTTTTCATTCAATCGCTGACAATCATACTATGGCTACAAGTGAAGAAATCATTAAAATATGACTTTGGGAGTGCACCGAGTTTGTGTGACTCACTTAGCAGCAGCTCCACAGGGGGGCTCAGTGCGCCCACCCCCAGCCCAGTCACAGCCGCCACCAGCACAGTGTAGGGGACATCGGACAGAAGGCCGGTCAGCAGAATGGACTGTACTGACCCATCCACGGTGCGGTTAATCTGTCCGTCCACATCCAGGCTGTCCCCCAGACACCACACCTGAGGACAGACAACATACAACATGGCAAATACAGATCAGTTCAATTAGACAATTTGGACCTCACTTCAGTATGACACAAGATTTAAGTTTTACTGTAAACACTAAATATACCAAGCCGGTATATGAGCCGGTATTCGTGCCGGTATTCGTGCCTTGAGAAAATTCAGATTCTGGGTATGGCTCAAAACTGGAGATTGAAATATGTTTATCATGTTTTCTGTTTATTCGAATGCTCTAGACATGAAAAGAAAGCAATTATATGATGTAAATCGTTTATTTTAGCAGTTTCCTCCTTGATATGCCCCTAAGTCATTAGTCCTGTCTCGGCTCTCGCAGATGGGAAGATGTTTTTTTTTTTTTAAACGAGCGGCATGTCCCATTTGCCATGTCTTGATTTTTATTACTGGAATAGCAGCTCTATGATTAGTAATCAGTGTCGTGTTCATGCTAAGACAATCAGAAGAGACCGTTTTTTTCCCCCAGCAGATGATAGGGACGTCAGCATTTAGACGAGATTTGGAAAACACCACTGAGTGTTTGGCAGAAGCACATGTGTTGGCAACAACATACTTGCATTTACAAATTGTTAATTCAGTATTATCAACACAGCAGATTAGTGCAGAACTGAGCAAAGGCTGAATGCTAATTTATACATCAAGACATGGACTGAAGATAGATTGGGTTATAGACAGACAGACAGACTGATAGAAAGACAGAGAGAGACAGGCCGATAGATAGACAGACAGACAGATAGATAGACAGACAGACAGATAGAGAGACAGACAGACAGAGACAGATAGACAGCGACAGACAGATAGAGAGACAGACAGAGAGACAGACAGACAGACAGAGACAGACAGATAGACAAAGAGACAGACAGATGGATAGACAGACAGACAGACAGAGAGGCAGACAGATAGATAGACAGAGAGACAGACAGACAGATAGACAGACAGACAGACAGAGAGACAGACAGATAGATAGACAGACAGACAGACAGATAGACAGACAGACAGATAGACAGACAGACAGATAGAGAGACAGACAGACAGAGACAGATAGACAGCGACAGACAGATAGAGAGACAGACAGACAGACAGAGACAGACAGATAGACAAAGAGACAGACAGATGGATAGACAGACAGACAGACAGAGAGGCAGACAGATAGATAGACAGAGAGACAGACAGACAGATAGACAGACAGACAGACAGAGAGACAGACAGATAGATAGACAGAGACAGACAGATAGAGCGAGAGAGACAGACAGACAAATGGACAGAGACAGACAGACAGAAAGACAGAGACAGACAAATAGATAGAGAGAGAGAGAGAGACAGTAAGACATATACACAGACAAACAGACATCAACAGATAGATGGATACATAAATAGAAAAATAAATAGACGAACAGACACTTTGATTGATGGATAGACAGACTGACAGACATATATAGATAGATAGACAGACAGACACAAAGATTGATGGATAGACAGACAGACAGACATATATAGATAGATAGACAGACAGACACAAAGATTGATGGATAGACAGACAGACAGACAGATAGATAGATAGAGTGAGGATAGATATACAGATAGATAGATAGTGAGGATAGATATACATATAGATAGATAGACAGATAGATAGACAGACAGACACTAAGATTGATGGATAGACAGACAGACAGACAGATAAATAAATAGATAGTAAGTGAGGATAGATATACAGATAGATAGATAGATAGATATTCAGATAGATAGATAGTGAGGATAGATAGACATATAGACATATAGATAGATAGATAAATAGATAGACTGGATAGGCTGGAAGGTACTGTAACTCACCTTGTACTCGCGAACAATGCCACACTGGACGTTGGATGCTGGAGGCTCCCAGGAAACGCTGATGCTGGAACTGTTGGTGAGTTGGACCACTGAGACAGCCTGAGGTGGGCCAATTAACACTGCACACAAACCAGAGGGATTTAAGGGCTGAACAGATTTATCATTTATTTATCAGCAGCTAGAAATGAACAAATGTAAACAGATTTGCTAATAAATGTCTTATTTCAGAACCACAATTTCATATGTGATGTTTTATTATCATTATTTTTTCATTTAAAGGCAGAATATGTAAGGACCTTTTGTAAAACAAGACAATCGGGGGCTACAATTAGTCTACTATAACTGTAACATATAACATAATCTATAACCTTATTATTCTCATTCACGTCTTACTGAAAAATAAGTCCTAAATAACACAATGGTGTGAGATAAAGGTGAGCGTGATTGTTGAGTACTCTGTAGGCTGCGTTCATGCTCTAGAATTCTATTTCTGACAGGACAGGTGCCAATACAATTCTATGAGAAGTTAGCATTTCTTTTAAATAAATGTTGAAAAAGAAAATCCAATTCCAAATGTTTTCCAAGGTTATTATTTAATAGCGATTAGATTCACAATTCTTTTCTACTGGCCAACATCTTACTTATGTGTTTCCTGTTCTAGAAATATGAGAAAATATTAGACCAGAAGGCAGACTGTTGACAGTTACCATAGTTACCAGGAAACATCAGGAGTTTTCAGCTGCCCTCCACCAATTTTTAAAAAATGCCCCTTTTTATGTTTACTCCTTGAAGAAAGCAATGTATTATTTATTTTATTTTCTAAGATGTAGGAGCACAAATAACACAAGTAATCTGTTTGTATGTATTTTTTAACTCCTTGTTTTTTAATTATAGTCTTTTACCAAATGGTTGAGATGCAGTTTGATGGTAAAAGTGCCTAAAACCAAGTGATAGAGATGCCCCAATGAGGTGGATTTCAGTTCTGAGCAAGCTTCAAGGACATATATCGACTCAAACAGCGATGATGAGGAAACCATTAAAGGGTTACTCTCTTTGGAATGTTGTGATGTCACTCGCACACAGTACCATAAACACAGGTGCGTACCCTCGTCAGGCGTGCGCAGCAGTATCATGAGGCTGTCGTGTCCTTGCAGCTCATTGAAGTAAGGCCGTATCTTGACCTCATAGTCTCGGCTCGGCTGCAGATCGACCAGGATGGCGCTCTGCTCTGAGGTGGCCTCCACGTCCAGTACGAGCCACGAGCTGCCGATGGAGCGGTAAAATATACGGAAACCTTGAACGTAACGAGAGAGGCGGCCGATCTGCGGGAGAGCAACATATTTATAATATATTGGCACGGTGGCTGAGTGGATAGCACTCTCGCCTCTCAGCAAGAAGGTCCTGGGTTCGAATCCCAGTCGGACCAGGGCATTTCTGAGTGGAGTTTGCATGTTCTCCCCGTGTCTGCGTAGGTTTCCTCCGGGTGCTCCGGTTTCCCCTACCACTAAAAATGTGTACAATAGGTCTGGCATGCGCCTCCTGTTCGGCGACCCCGCTCCCATCTCTGTGTGGAGTGAGAGGACAAGTGCCCAAAAATAATAACAATTGTAAACCGTTTTGTGACTCTGGTCTGTGACAGGCGGTATATAAATGAAGATTTCTTACTTACTTATAATCTGGAATCACTGAATTTCACTGAAATAAATTTTATTGATGTGCCAGGGAAATTATTTTGACACATATGTGTTATGTGTAACACATATTGTTACACATAATTAAAGAAAGAAAAAAACAAAAACTTGCAAAAAAGATTTTAATTTTTGCTTCTTCTTATGCCAAAGGAAGAGATTTTATTCTTCTTTATTATGCTAAAGTCAGAGGTTTTGCACTGAAGATAGAGATTCTATACTTGTTTCTTCTTCCTGCTAGAGTTAGAGATATTGATTTTTTGTAGTATGGAGTTATTGTTCATTCCTACTGTTCTGTAACTGCTGATGCAACACTGAAATTTCCCCACTGTGGGACGAATAAAGGATCTCTTAATCTTAATCTTAAAATACATTACATTGTAGCCTATTTCTGTCCACCAACTCGAACTGAGATTGGTTTTGTCCTTCAAGTTTGTGCCAAGTTGAATGTATATGTTTTACCCAAGCCAAGTTTTTTTCATCTCACCGTCCAAGAAATCCTGGCAGAGTTTGGAGACAGCACCACAGGCTTCAGCAGGTAGATGGACACCTCTCCTAAATCCCGCTGCACTTGTCGGTGGTCCACGCCCTGTTCTGTGGGGCTCCCATCTACAACATCAACATTTTCGACTCAAGCAGCTGAAAAAGCAGCAATCCCGCAAAGCATGGAGAAAGCAACACTCTTTGATGAAATTCAACAACGCTCAGGGCAGAAGGGTATCATACTGAGAAAGCAATTAGTTTTGAGACTGCGCATGCAAATAATTTCCTCCCCTAAATACTTTTTTTGTTTCAGCAGTGGCAGCACATACAATCAAGTTTTCTTGATAGGACAGAGAAAAGCAAAGAAAGAGGAGACATTACTTGCAGGGTGGAACAATGCAACAATTTCAGCCAATGCCATTTTGTGTATGCCAATATCCATAACCAACAAGGCAAGATTATGTCGAGGGGGCTATCAAAGTCCTCATTTGTGGTCAACTTTACAAATACATTTTTAAAAATAAATCATGCTTTATTCTTATGTACACACATTATTCTTTTACACGTATGCATTATTTTTCGCACTCTTAGGCGCACATAAGCCTTTAATTTCAAGTATGTACCTTATAATCCAGTGCACCTTATATATGAAAATAAAAGCATAATTTGATAATGCGCCTTACAAACAGGTGCGAAAAATACGGTACAATATTTTGGTATAAATGTATAAAAATTACGTTAAATTTTTTATGACATATTTCTAATTTATAGTTTGTTGGTTTATATGTATGTAATTTCAGGCTCTTGTGCTCTGGGAGGTGTCAGTATTGGCTGGCACAAATACAAACAACAGGATTCTGCTGTTTTAAGCATATTTTTGCAGTGCAGCGTGAAAACTTTCTGTTACTCATTATGTTTTTAATTCAGATGTGCATAAGTCCCTCTCTGGCATCGTCAAGTAAGTACAGTACAAAGCAGTTTTCCTCTGGAATGCATTCACAATCCTCATATACATCTTCTGCTATCTTTTTACTGTCTGCCTCAGAAGCCATTTGAGTGTGTCTCACAGAGGCCATAGCAGGAAAAGGAAAGTAGAAATCTGTCTCAATGTATTTTGACTTGAAAATGATCTGTATCAATTATCAGGGAAAGAAAACGATATTGTTATTGCTGTGATGACATTTTTGACAATATCAGCCATCGTTAATAATCGTGCGTCCCTGTGACTTGCCTTGCGTCCTGACAGGCTCGGAGATGGGGCTGGGGTCACTCAGGCCGTAGGAGTTTAGCGCTCGGACGATGAAAAGATAAACTGTGTTGGGGAGGAGACCAACCACCGTGTGTCTTTCCTGCCTCACGTGGTCCGCCACCGTCTGCCAAGTGCTGCCCACAGACTGACTGCACAAAACAAGGACAACATGATGATTATGAAGCAGGAGTTTTCATCCTTTTCCACAGACAGCTACTCTATCAGGACGAAAATGACAGAAGGGTTCCAAATAAATATAAGTAACCGTCACCAATCTAATATCCCTTTTTTAGTGCATTAAGTGGTTGTATGTAGGCATGGAAACATAATTTATATTTATTATAGATCTTTCAAGGCACTACTTGGAAAAGGGTGGCGAGCTTTTGGTAGCTCCCAGCTGTGTTGGAGAGGCCTGTTATAAGGCATATAGGGGTATATTCTTTACATACCACCTCAATATAAGAGCTAAAAGTTGCTTCATAAATATTTAATTCACTTACACTTTCATATAATAAATCATTACAGTCTCCGAGGACTTTTCACGAGGCTCACTGGGCTATAAACGTCTTTATTTATTGTTAATATGAGCGTTTCTTTCTTCTATTAGTCCGACAGGGGTTAATTTCCTTGAAGCTGATACAGTGCAGGGAAAAGAGACATTCAGTCAACATACATGTTCCCCACGGAGACAAAGTTGGTTTTATTCATTCTTTTTTAATTTCCCACATTTTTCTACAATTATTACAACAATACTACAACTATATAACAACATATTTAAAAACTATTTAAAAAGTAAATGCAAAACTAATTGAATCATTTTGATGTCATACAGGTAAATAATATATAGCCATAGAAATACTCATAATCTATTATTTATATTTTTCTATATATTTATTTTCATTTTGTTTATTGTTTTATTTGCTTGTGTCTTTATCATATCTTAATTTATTTTTGCTTTGCTTTATTTTACTTTTTTGGCACAAGGGGAGCATAGTGGGGAGGGGAAAAAAGGAACACATAAAATATATTGTTATGCTACGGAAGCTTATTGCATTAAAAACTGTATAAAATAAGCTTCCGTATTATGCTGTATGTACTATGGGAAAAAAGTGTGACCTAATGAAGATGACACAATAAAGTAAAAATATACAAAGTAAATGCAATGGCGACAAAAAAATGCATCTATTTACTTCGGATGCCTTCATAGTATGCACAAAATGCGACTGTGACTACTTCTCTAGCAAAGTGTGTTTTGAGAGTGATGTGCAGGGCTCACCTGAAAGCTTGAATGATGTAGGAGGTGACTGCAGCGCCCCCTTCGTGTGGGTTGGACTGCCACGTGAGCGTCACCGAGTGTTTGGACACCTCCGTGATGATAGGTTTCTGCGGCGGTCCCGGGAGCTGGATGAACTCGGACGCTTTGGATACTGAGGACATCCCCTTCTCTGCGACACAAGTAAAGTTTCTGTGTCTTTTATGACAAGATTGAATTCAAATAATATGCAAGTGTACGACAACTTCTAATACTTTTCTGTAATTTATTTTTAAAATGTATTTCTGTAATTAAAAATAAAATGCAAATTTATGATAACAATAAAGTCAAATCAATATGATAAAGACAATAAATATTTGGGGTTTCTAAGCTGTGAGTCAAATACCAGCATCAAAACCAATAAAGATGAGTTATAACTGACTTTACGTGTAATTACGTGTTCTTCCAAATTTCACCTATAAATAACAAGATACACAATAATTATTATTAAATTATTAATATTACACTATACATATTTTCATGGCTTTCAAGGTTTGCTTTTATCATTATATTACTGAACATGCTAATTTAAAGGTAAAGTAAAGTAAAGTGTTTGTGAAAGGTAAGATTATTTCGATTTGTTAATGTGTCCTGTGCTGTTATTTCTTGTCCAAGTATGAAGTAGATCATCTCGGGATTTTCATATTTGTGGCAAACTTTTGTCAGTTCTCTGGCTATAACTTGTTAAAAAGTAGGACATTAGAGAAATATGTGAAAGTTTGGAATGACCTTGGGGGCTGCTGGATAGTTTAAAAAAGACTGAAGTTGTTGACCTAGTTTATGATTAAGTATATATTTGACAGTACCTTTGACAGTCACTACCCCACTCCAGGTCGACTGCCCTGTAGGACTGGACACCACGCATGTGTACATCCCAGAATCAGACTCCTGAGGGGGAACAACAGTAATACAAATGGGTTAGATAAAAGCAAAGTTCACTGCTGTTTTAAAAAAGTACAGTTCGATTGGGTATCAAGAAACTAGATTGAGACATAACCTTGGTCCAAGCTGCTGCTGGAGCCTCATTGCTCCAAACCACAGAGCACAGCACCTGGCCTTCTGCTGTGCTATAAAACACACACTGGTCCAGGCTGCGTCTCACATCGGCCTCTCTGAAATCCTCCTCCGCAGTGATGACCTCTGGCTGACAGACCGGCAGCGCAGCGAGGGGCCAGGTGAACTTCCTTGGTTGATGACTACTGCAGCTAAAATATTGATAGCGGCCGGTGCGGCGGCGGGCTAAACATTTTTCGTCCCTGCATGGCTCGTCATCTCCATTTCGCTGTCTTCTCTCAGCGCGCCGCCCCTCGTGTCACACTAATGCACGTCTTCTGTTCCATTGAGCACATCGGCATGGCAGACTTCCTCCGCCTCGCTAGTGCACTGGACCAAAGATGAACGTTGTGAGTTTGTCCACTGATGAGGACGAGGCAGGATGACTGAGAATACTTTAGCAATTAGAACGAAAAGGCATTTTGCATTGATTACTTACATGGGACTGACTTTGCATTGTCCCATAGTCGAGCGGCTAATGGGTCTCTACAATCATTACTTAGATATTGAATAATACAAAGGATGCTTTTGTCTGGTTGAGTGTAATGTATACTACTTAGAGAGTGCTTTTCATGAGTCTCAAAAACATATTCATTCACTCCACACACTGTGGTTGTAAACTACTATTGTTGCCAGAGATGCTCTGGGGCAGTCTAACAATGTGAAAAAATAACACAAGATGATCATCAATTTACTGTTTGCTTGTTGAATGTAAGACAGATTTAATACAGCGTGATAATGAGGCCATAGAGGGACAATGACAGGGCTCACAAAATAATGATGACTAATTATTACTTTTTCAACTATCCAAAAAAAGGTTGAAAATGTATAATTAAGTCTAATTTAAGTAGAGTCTATAATTTATTCTCTGGTGTTACACATAATGAGGGACTTAAAGGCAGACTGGTGGGTGGCTGACGTAGCCAGATACTAAGGATAGCTTGAGTGTATGTATATATTTTAATTGGTATGCATATTTAAGACATTTGCAATAATAATTTATTAATTTAGTAGTTTTAATTAATAACACCTCTCTGCCATCAATGCATTAGCAACCATAAGCATACTAATTTACATATTAATTAAAGACATATTAACTTGTATTCACACATAGAAATGCATTTTATCTCACTCTCACCTCTCAAAGAAAGAATATAACAGAAAATATGTCAGATGTCAGTAAAAGAAGGTCAGGCTGAACCGTTTAAAACTCCAAACCATTTCTATTTACACCCAAATGCTTTTCAGAAGCCGTTTTTTGCCCTTTCCAATAAATGAGTTCCACCTAATACACACACACATACATTATGCACGCGCACACACACATCCTTTCCCCCACACACACACACATGAACACACACCTTTATGTTTGTTATTTGCAGAGTTCCATTCTCCATCAAGGTCAGGCGTGTTTTTTTCCCCTGGAGTGTTTGCCCATCTTTCTCCCAGGATATTTTGACAGACGAGCTGGCGATGACGCGGCAGTGCAGTCGAACCGTGGAACCTTGCGACGCCGTCTGATTGGCCGGGCCTTGGCGAATGATCGGGGGAATGCGGCCAGAGGGACCTACGAGGAACAACACAGGAGGTAAGTGAGTATTATTACTACACCCCTTTTCTCCCACTTTATCTGTCACCGGTTTGCACGGCAGGAGTCTGAGTATGACACCCTCTCCACGCACACTTCCTTCAGCTCATTTTATTCCCCAGGGTCTCTTCCCGGTGGGACAGGACCATAGGTGGGAATGTAGATCGACCGGAAAATTGAGACCTTTGCCTTTGGACTCAGCTTCCTCTTCACCAAAACGGTCCAATATCACGGCACACGCTTCACCTATCCGTTTGTCAATGTCACGCTCCATCCTTCCTGCACTCACTTCATTAAAATGTAGCCAAGCAGGGCATGACTGAAACTATTATTCAAGTTCAATAACTCCATCCATCAATTTTTCTTCTGCTTTATCCGTTGCCAGGTCACGGGGGGCACCAGCCTTCCCTGGGGTCTCCGCCCATAGATACATTTCAATAACTGTGTATGTGTGTATAAATCTACGCATGTGAAAATATTTCTGCTTGAATAAATTAATAAAAATGAAATGAAATATTAAGAGCCTAAATCTTACAAGACAAAGGAGGAAAGAGGTTTCTTGAAGTCTTTTTGCTGCAGTGCATAGTAGAACAATAGGACACAGAGGCTTAGTCCTAAATACCCCTGAATACAAGCTTCCTGACGATGGAAAACATTAAGCCAGTGCCCATTGCTCATACAGTATGAGGTCTCTAACAGCTCAGGTCTGCACACCTCATTGTTGTCCTTCTACAAAGTAATTACAATCCTTTCCGCTCATTATCCAGCACAACTGAGTAAAGGATAAATCTTGTGCCTGTGCTGGGTCTCACCTCCCTCCACCTCGAGCAGAGCCTTGGTGAGCACGCTGCCTGCCACACTTATCGCCTGGCAGATGTAGAAGCCCGAGTCTTCAGGATGAACGTCACTGATAGTTAGCTCCCTGCTCATAGACACGGAGTAGCGACCGGATTGTGAGGGTGGCTGGCCAGGGAACAGCAATAACTGAGGCACAGAGGAGGAATGTTATCAGTTCATTTGAATGAGAAAAAAGAAGAAAAAAAAGAGGAAAAGACGGCACACCAAAATAGTAATTGTAACTCCAGCTCTAAATTAGCAGCTTATCTCCCAGCAAAGCCCAAATGTGTTCATTTCATTATTAAAAAAGATAAACACATAAATTAATTTAATATGGAAGTGATAGTAGGGAGTTCTGGACTGAATAGATTGGTTTGCACTGACAGCCAAACTCTGAACAATACTTAATGAAATAGTAGCAGCAAGACAGAGCTCAGAATGTTTGTTATTTGCTGAATGGTTGTGGCACTATGTTTGTGTAAGTGAGAGGATGTGAACAACAGGGGAGGGCTGCACTCTGCCATTCACCATCTATTTCATTCTCGTAAGAGGCTTAGACTTGTGTGGAGAGACCAAGGTCATAGGGCGACAGTTAATCCTACAACTACAGCAAAAAGCTCTGCACACAGCAAAGCCAAGCCCTGCAGTCTTGAGGAGATGCTTATTCAGAACAAAAATGTCCCCTTATAGACTTCCTGTTTGGGGTATAGAGTTGTTCGTCCCAGCTGCTGCTATCAAGGAGTATTTATAGAGAAGGACAGAAGCAGGGCAGTGTATTCTGTGGGTTTGCCCTGCAGAGGCATTGCACCTGGTCTGGAGTCCCCCCCAAACCCCCCCAAAAAATGCTCATTATTCTGGCTTACAGAGGCCTGTATAAATAAAGTATTCTTTGGTAAGCGTTCAGGAGATTCAAATACAGCACGTCATCGAATGGCTCTCGCAGAATGCAGAGGGCTCCGAATCTGCTTTCATCACATCTCCCATCTCTCAATATTACAATTGATACAATCTGTGAGTGTATGTCTCCTCTGAATAACTTGGGAACATTCATATATTGCTCCTACATAACTAACCAATAGTACATACCATAATTAACTAACTATATAACTGATTGAACTAATCAAAATTCAGCAAGTATTGTGGAGCGATTTTGAGCCCTGTCGGTGAAATTATGCTCCAGAAAAAGTTAGATAAAGAGTAGATAAAGGGTTTTTCGTAATTAACACCAAAAGGGGATTATGTTTTTAGAGTTTAATATATGATTGATATTTGATTTCACTGGTCACGTTAGAGCGGCAATGCTTTAGAATCAGAATCCTTTTATTGCCATGTGAGTAAGGAAGTCACAAACTAGGGCTGTAGCAAAAAAGTCAGTAACCTGCCCTTAAAACACACAACTTACATCAGAGTAAACCTAAAGTGTGTGACAAAATTCACTTTCAAATCATATTAATAGACTATTAGAATGATTGCAGTTTCTTGCTCATCTCCGTTATTCTCAGCACAAGTGGGTAAAGCGCCTCACGCAGCACAGTCCTGCACAGGCTTCCAACACATTGTCTGCACACACTTCTCAGAGCCAAATACAAATGCAAATGCTGCTCTCACTCGTGCGCCACTCGTGCTTTGGAAAACATGTTTGTAAGTGTGTGGGCAAACCCCAGAAGGTGTCAGAAAAAAGTATGATTCAATCAGACAAAACCTGTTTATGAAATCTAGAGTCTAAATCGAGGTGTTGTAAAATCGTTATTGTTGTTGTGATGAGTCGGACAGTGTCGTAAATACACAAACATATAAGTGTTATTTACTAATCTTAGGTTACATTATCACTTATTTTCTTCAAACCAGCGCAGGTTGTGTTGACCAGTCTTGCCACGATACTTTTCAATATTGGGTTATAGTGGATATATTAGTTTGAAGATGTTTCCTTCTATTGCAATTGTATTAGCGGCATAAAGCAGTTTGTGGTATATTGTCCTTCAACATGAGATTTCATGACTGACCTCGTGTTGACCATGGAGCTCATTCTATCTGTGAGAGAATTGTTCTGCCATTGAAACTTTGTAAGAATGACCATTTCTAACCAGTTAGTTATTGACAGATATGACATATTTTTCTTTGAGTTTTTAATCATGAAAACAGACCTCAAGCTGCATTTGTGACGTGATCATTTCCATGTAAACAAATGTTCTTGACAACCACTATTGACAACTGGGGACTTTATCAGGTTAATGACAGTCCACACATGCTTGAATACCAGTAGGGTTTTATGTTATAATTTGACATGAATCCAGCTGTGAGCGGCTTCTGTTGCTACCTACAGCCTGTGTTTGGTTGATAGAGTGTGGCTATCAAAAACATATGTTAACCCCTCCTTAACAATGGGAACGATCCCATCGCAAAGAGGTGAATATGAGGAGGTTCTGGCACTGATCACAGAAACATGGACCGAGCAGTACTTTTTTCAGTATTGTCTACTAATTTGTTTTGATAATTTCTCCAGTCATATTGCAATGTTGGGGCATTACAGTCATCTCCTACTTGATTGGTCATGTATATCGGTATACTTCAAAAAAATCGAAACCAGAAAAAGAATATACTTGTGATCTTGTATGAAAAGACAAAAGGAACACAAAAAGTAAAGCATAGTATTCATTCTAAAAAGGATAGTTTTGTTTCACTCAAACCTTTGTATATAAACCAAGGTATAAATAGTTGTGTGTGTCCTGTATTCAATTGTTTAAATATTTAGTCAAATGTTTTTAGAATTTGCTGTACAATTCTGTATCATCAATTGAAGGGTACATTTTCAGATACTAATTGTAATTGCTTGATGGAGGATTTTTAGACAGACCTTGGAATCACAAGTAGAATGACCCATCACAGCTGTTGCCCCGCCTCTTACCTGGCTGCCCTCTTTCTGCCAAAAAATGGCTGGTGGGGGGTTGCCGGTCGTGCCACACTGGAATGAGATGCTCCTCCCCTGAGTCGCGATCTGGTCTCTGGGTTTTGAGGTGATCTGAGGTGGAACTGCAAGCGGAGAAGAGAGGCCTGTTCAGTTTATGCACCGTAATAGGCAAAAGCATATTCGGCTCAATACCATATGTAACACTATTATTCAGAGACGGCCTTCACAAGCTTGATGCTTCTGGCGTATATCTTTAACCTTCAGTGCTTTTTGATCCATCGCTGCGCTGTATATTTCATCACTTGTCTCATCTTCACCTCTGTGTCCTCTGTACGAAAACGAATCATCCTGGTTCGAAGGGGCAGCCGTTCTCGTGACATTTGGTGAGTTATTTTTAGGCCCATGCCAATTTCCACATGGGTGCATTAGATTTACACTGACCACCAGGCTGGCCGCACAGGGGCTGTAGAGTGTCCCGATGGCTCTCGGGGCGGTGCGGCAGCGGCTGCAGCCCGGAGTAACCCCCTCCACAAATGCAGGACACTCGCACGCGCTCACACTTGGCTGCACCAAGAAATTTGGCTCAACACACAAGGGAGCTGACTCATCCGGTGTCGTAATGTTCTCACTGAAAGAGCATGTCCCATAACCGTCTCACACTTTACCAGAAACACACTCTTCTGATGTTTTCTTTTGGATCCTGTGTGTGTTTTAAAGGTGGACATTGATATTGTGTTTGTTTTAATTCTCATGAAGCTAATGCTATTGTCCAGTCTCTGATCAGACGTGTTGTGTCTTGGCTATCAAGTTGTGAAGATAGTGAACTGTGATTTGTTTACTTGAATGAATTTAAACACATTTGTACCTTCTAAACCTGCTTAGAATACACCTTTTCACATTTTTCAATAATCAATTATCTTTTTAACAACCTGCCTCATGCACTTTTGTCCACCCAAAAACTGGTTGGACATACGAACCTGGGCGTTAGATGAGAATGACCTGCACACAATGTTTTCCCGAATAAATCCCATCTGTATTTTTAGTTTATGAATGTATTTAATTGAATTTTAAGTGAAATTGTTTAGGCCGAATTGTTTGCTTAACCCTAAAATCAAAATCAGTCTTACAAAATCTGCAATTTAAAGTGTATGTCCGCAGGCATAGACACTATATGTATGTTTGGAATTAGAATAGGCATACGTAATACATTATATATCGTCATTATTTGTTGTAAGTATTTAAGTATTGCAAATGACTTTAACTCAAGCTACAGTGTCTACTTTTCAGGCATGTAAAAACTAAAGATTTGTCTTTACTTACTCATCTGTTGTGGTGTGATGCTTCCAAAAACACATTTCCAAATTTTCCAATCTCTATTATGCTTCAGATTTGATCTCCATGTAGAATGATCTTCGGTGTCGCTTTAAGGCTGAGGTACCTTACTTTCAAACCACAAAACGTTTTCACATCTTTTGGATCAGCAGAAGTAAAAAAGAAAGGACCACTCTCACACAGCCCATCAGCTTTCACACAGTATTTAAATTAAACCATATAAAAAATGAGTCGCCATTGTAATGCCCAATTTGTACCATTTGTAGCTTAACTCCAGCAGGTGGATTTCATCAATAATCAGTGCTTATGAAATCTATGTGTCACAGGCAGTAAGATGCTGGCAACAAAAGTCAGAATGTAATTGTACAGACTGTATTATTAGACTAATTGGGCATATTTCATATTCCCCCTACAAATGTTGTCAGCTGCCCTTGTTGTCACTGTCCTCACACGCTCAGTTCACAAAAGATACGTTTTTAATCTGACATACATTATGGGTGTATTCAGACCAGAAAAGTCCTTTGCTCCGCTTGCTTGGTCTGAACCAAAAGCGGACCAAACTTTTTTCTTTTGCTCCGGTTCGTATTCAGACTGTACTTTTTGCAAGTGAACTTTTTTATGAACATATTAACCCATGTGACGACCGGCGTTCCTATTGGACAGCGAGAGCTCACGACGAATACTGAAGATACGGAAATGGAGGAAAATATACATAGTTCCCACAGACCAATGAATGTCACATGACCTCCTCGGAGACGCCATCTTTGATGGCACGCTGCTGTGTTTGTGCATTCCATTAAACAGAAGAATGAGAATAAATGTAGATATTCAAACGCAAATTGGAAAAAAAGGGCAACTTTTGAGCAAATAATTGTATATTAATACAATGGCACCACAGTTTAACGTGCTACGGACATGTTTTACATATTTGATCAAATTATGCAGCAAAAATTAACAAGCAATGCAAACATTTCTCAAAAACTTTAGATTTAATACCAGTTGGAGCTCCATTTAATTATTTTAATTATATTAACAATTAATTTAATTAATGCTAATGCCACACGGACACTCTGGATTGCTGTTATTGTTTATTTCCGCGTTTTTGACCGTATGTTTTGGTGAATGGTGGGCAACTGATTTTTCCAGGCGTAAAGAGCAGTTTATTTTATGACACAGATCTTTTTACAGAAGCAATGCTGTTTGTGAACATTGTTTTAGCCCACCACAGAACTATTATTATCTATTTAATACATTTACGTTGCCCTCGAGAGCCTCGGACGCGACACCGATCCTCCTCATAATAAAGTAATCTAACGCTAAATAATGAAACTCTCAAGTTACCAGATATCAGCATACACAAGTTAGTACTGAGTAAATTACGTCTGTCAACACATTATAAGATACGATACGCACCTGACACAAAGTGCTCCGAGCATATTCTTGCGTGTTTTGAGGGAGTTTCTTGCCTGTTTATCTTCGCAAGCCATAACCTCCGTCGTTGTTCTGACAAAAGCTTAGTCTTCTCACATTCATGAAGTCTAATGATGGGTATACTGTAAAATCCAAGTTTAACGGAACCTCCGGCACGATTTGAACATCCATTGACCCAGCAGGAGATGACCATTTTCAACTTTATCACGACATTAACACGTTTCAGCTTCTTTTTCTATTGTTTTGCCCACAGCATGCCAATACAAATGGCGCCGGGTCGGCAAATCCCCGTATGTAGTGACGTCATGTGGGAACTATGTATTGAGCTCGTACCATGGATCTATAATAATAATGGCTCGTACGTGCTGCATGTCTGCTCTGCCTATGTTTAATCTTTTTAGAGCAAAACCACCTTCAACATCAGCAGCAGCTCATTAGACACAGGCGAAACGCCGAAGGAGACTCTGTGCGCTACGTGCCCTGTCCATGGATCTATAATGATAACCCTGTCCCACAACTTACTGACAGCAGCATTGTGGATAAACAGACGGAGGATCAGGTATGAACCAAAGAACACAATTCACTACATGATACGGGATATTGCTTTTTGAGACGCGAGTCAAACACGTGAGGCTTTTAATAATGCAAATGATTTGAAGATGCTGCCATTAACTTCCCTGTATGCTGTGAACAGTTGTAACTCCATAAGCCTGTTGCACAGTGTGTCCTCGTTGCTCCAGGTCTGCCCACGGCTCGTTGTTGTTGTGTAGAATGCGTTAGCCCAAAAAATGCGCACGTTTCCTGGAGTGGAGACCTGAATCGACTTGGACCAGAGTTCGTTTGGAAGCGGACCGAGACCACTTAAAAAAGTGGGTCTCGGTCCAGTTCTTTGGTCCGGACCAGGATTTGTTAGTGTGTATTCACACCTGCATAAAAGGTTCGGATCAGAGTTCCAAACGAATCCTGGTCCGTTTAAAGTGGTCTGAATACGCCCTAAATTGCTCAGGATTATTTAACGCGTGACCACAGCAGCAGTCATGTGATTTACATCCAGGCCCCTAATGGTCGCGCTCCACACCATTAGACAGTGATTACAGATTTCAGAGCCATTAGAGACACCTTAGAGGATGAATACATAGAGCACATATGGCACTGAGGGAAACTAACAAGTGTAAACCTGCAGAGGTCCAAACACATGATAAATGAGGGAAAGTAGAACGGACAGAATAATCGGATAGAAATGGTCAAGGCTGTAGTCAATAATGCAACGTGATCTCCTCTGCAAATGGCAAAAAATATGTTGTGTGTGTTTTTCTACATAAAAGCCTGCTTACAAACTTGTGAGTCTTGAAATTGAATCCAATCTGTATTTTAGTCTTCCAAGATATGAAAGCCCTCCCGGAAAAAATGGGTTGGCAAAAAAATCTTTTGTAAGCAGTTTGAAATGAGGACAAACAAAGAGGAATTTGAGTTTGCCCACCATCTAAAAACTGGGGTTTAGTGAATAATGTCATTGTCGAATGAAAATGAGTGTCCTGAAATGCTCTACATACTGCTATATCGGTAAAATACAGCAACAACCATTGGTAACAAGCATTAGAATTTGGCTGAAAACTTTACACTTGGAGATTGAGATTGAGACATCTAGCTAATCTTTATGGATTATTTACAGTCCAGATATGCGTTTGCCAAATACCTTGTAACATCATACTTCCATTTTTATTTATTCATTTTTGTAAAAAAAATAAAAAAAAGACCAGAGCACAGCTGTGTTCAAAAATTGCTCAAATTTGGTGAAATGTATTTTAATTTGAGCCCATTTTGACTGCCTAAAATTATTTGCCAATGGCACAAACAAAATGATCTTGTTTTAAAAAATATACAAGAAATCTTTCCCTTGGAATGAGACAATACAGTCAGTTCTTGAAATAAAACTAAATGGCTTTGAAAAAAAAAAAGCACTCACTTCAAGCAATTATTACCTCATATTTTTCCATTTTCCATTTGACTGCAATGTAAATGTCATTTGTAATGCTTGTGGATGTGTTACAACTTGTACAAAGCCTTTTCAATACATACAATCTTCACATACACGTATTTATATGTGCACACTCTGAAATAAAATAAACTCAAGTCAACTAAATAAAAAGCAAATTTTAATAGGTGACTGCTTTTTTCTTCAAGACTGACTTTTCATTTGAATAGGAACCATTTTTTTATACACAGAATACAGGAAGAAAGAAGTGAGTGTGCATGTCACCGCTGGAGCTGAACACACAGAACAACATGCATGAGAGGAGATAAAGAGGCCCAGAGCCGTGCCTTATTAATACAGCCGCCGCTCTCTGCCGCTGAGTTCGGGTGCACATCTCCCAAACATCTGTCAAACTGAGTAATCCATACGGTTTAGCATAAGCTCCTGACAGCACTGCACCGATCCACAGATACAGTATACAGGAAATGGGACTGTGCCGTGAGTGAGACAGTTTTTATGACTCCATTTTCATAGATAAAAATATAACATCATGAGATCAAACTGTAAAAGTGCATTGCTCCTGGTGGTGGGTTCACTTTTCACTTAGGTTCATCCTTAAGTTGTTGTTCTGCCTGGATATTTATACAGTTTGTCATTAAACTTTCCTTTTACATTGGAACAAGCAGCATGTGACTTCACTCTCTTATAAGTTACGTCTGTAGAGAGGCGAGTCTTCTCAATGTAAAACCTTATTTAAGCACAGCAATCAATAATCCATAATGGAGGAATGTTTGTGTGTTTTTTTTTTACTTCACAAGAAACAGATATTGGGCCAGGCCATTCCCTTCAATTTTTCCCCGCTTTTTCTGTTGCCGGGTCACGGGGGAAGCAGTCTAAGAAAAGACGCCCAGACTAGTGATATTGGACCAGACCACGTTTCTATTAACTCATTGTGTCCCATTGACGCACAAATACGTCAAATGCCTTTTTCGCAAATTTTCACGTTCCCAGATGTCTATTGTATCTAATATGGATGGGGATGACTTGAGACCATATTTTATCGAGCCAGCAGGTGGCAGCATTTCTCTCTGAATGGTTTGAAAACAGTTAGGTGCACATGTTGTGCCTCTTTTTTCTCAACTTTCTGGTGATTTCTGGTGATTTCAGTAAAACTTCCCTCTACTCGACGGAGGATTACAGGGGAACGAAAAAAGTCTTTTCGTTCCCCTGTAATTCTTTTTGCTGAGGAAAGTAGACAGTCCATTTCTTTTAGAATCTGGTGTCGGATTTGAGATAGTCATAGTACACAATATTCTGTGGGTCTTTAAAAATCAGTAAAAACCATCAGAAACGGCTGGCAATATGGGAGTACCTGTTCTGAAATGGGCTGGCAGTCAATGAGTTAAACAGTGAAATCAGTCTGAAATTGTCTGTTGATTTAAATAATTTTACCTGAAATTTGAAAAAAACACAATATAGATCGTCATCTGTGTCAACATCACTGAATTAGCACAGTAATATAAGTTCTAGGGCCTAAATATTTGTTGCTTATAATTTTAGAAAAAAATACACTCATCATGTGTATTTCATATGTGCACTTGTGAGAAAGTGGATTTCACAAGGACTTTTAACCGCTTTTATTTTTGTGTGTTTTTATGGTTTTATGCATGCATTGTATCTCACAGTTCCTTGGACACTTCCCCAATTACCCACACCTGCTTTTAATCAAGAAGACCTTAAATTGGGGGCGGGCACTGCGGGACGATAGCGGGAAAGACAGAGAGAGAAGCGGAGAGACAGCACGAGAGGAGGACGACGAGACCGGACCGGGCTAAAGGAGGAGCACCACCAGCCAGAGACCACGGGGGACTGAGGCCAGCGGGGAGAGCCGCACCGGTGATGGGCGCGCATTGAAAGAATAGGCCCAACATCATGGCTGGGATGTGCCCGCTCTCCCCCGCGGGTGCCCGGTGGCGACCCGTGGTTGGCGAGTGGCTGGCGAGACTGCGGCCCGGTCCCGGGACAGAAGGGCTTGAAGGAGGACACGGGGACCAGCTGACTATGAGTTTTTATCTCTTTTTAACGGATCTCTTTGCATATATTTTATTAAATTTGTATCCCTTTTTACCCCATCTGCTTTTTTATTGATCACACCCCCTCAACAGACTCTTTTAACCTGCGACACACTCACCTGGACTACGGATGGAAGTAGCAAAATGTTGTGCAAATCATCTTTTATTTTGTAACGACATAGTATGTAGTTTGTTGATTGAAGAAATAATAACAAACTAACTCACGGTACAAAAAGCGGGTCACCACCAGGACTGCACCTTCAATGTCACTCTCTAACGCCAATTTTAAAGTGAAATTTCTCAGTGGTAGTAGAAATGTCACTTAAAAATGATGCATAAATAAAACTCTTTCTAGAAGGGTTGGGTATTTTCACTCCAGTGCATCAGCTCAGAGCTACACATGCCCGGTGCAGCCCTACATGAACACAGGGTTTTATTCTGCCTGGATGGGGGTGAGTGATTTCTCTTAGGTTAAAATACAATATGCATGAGGAGTATTGTCTCACCGTGGACTTGGAGCATGGCCGAAGCCTCTGTCTTGCCCACGCTGTTCTCAGATGTGCAGGTGTAAGTGCCTTCGTCCTGCTCCTTCACACGGAACAGACGCAAGTTATTACCGTTGCGGATCTCGAATCTGGAAGTGAGAAAATCAGAGATAATGAAACATGCATTTGACGGAAAAAAGCATGGAACTGTGGTAATCTACAAAGAAGAGCAAACAGCTGAACAGGAATGATTGTGTTTGTCTCGCTGTCAGTCAACCAGTTGCTATGACGCCTTTTGAACTCCAGCAAGACGCCACAAAAACAACAAGGCTAGTTTAAAGCAGAAATGGTGAATCGATGACATTAACTTTTTTAATTTGATAAACTATCTTTTTACAGTTTCAAATACCGTCACATAAAATACCATTAACTGACACACACACACAAAAAAACATACATTATTTCAATGCATAATGCCTTTTATATTGATAGCTGGAACCTTACAGTTTACAGAATTGATTATTGTGACCCCTGAGTTCATAAACAACAAAACCAGGAACTTAAATTGGAGAATTATACAAATGAGTGCACAGTACAAAAAACAAACAAAATCCTCATCTTGTCTATAACATTTTTGAACCAAATTGATCTTTTTCAGTCCCTTCTTTAGTTTTAGTTTTCGTCATTCTAAAACAATACAAAATTATCCTGAATGAAAAAAAATGTTGAATTCAGCAACAACACTAACAAATCGAGAGGGTCTATTGGACAATTAGAGTCTAACAAGAAGGACTGTTGTGATGATCCAGGACACTCTACATTCTACAACATGTATGGACATTTATCAACATTCTTGGACATTGGTCTCTCCCTATGGACCAATTCATATGTGTATTCTTTTTGTGTCTTAACTGTTGATTATCTGATCTGTGTTGCTGATTTCAATGGTTGTGTTAAGTCCTCTGAGATGACTGCTCAGAGGACTGCTGGGCTATACAAGAATAAATTGTATTGTAGTATATACTGTACTGTAGGTCTATTATAAACATATATCATTGCAAGAAGAGCAAACGTTTTACAGACTGTTTTATATACTGAATATGGACCCAATATATCAAGCAATGCTGCATTTGAGATCTGCAATTATTTAAACGGTGAACAAGCCTGCACACACACACACACACACACACACACACACACACACACACACACACACACACACACACACACACACACACACACACACACACACACACACACACACACACACACACACACACACCCTATCTTCTCTTTGGACCCAGAGGAACCAATGAAGTGGCCGCATGGGGTCCACCAGTAATAAATGATAGAACGCCATGAAATAATTAACAAGCACTCTAGCAAGTTTTGTAGGTCACACAATGCTCCAGTGTGAAGGCCATTCCAGTGCTCACCTCCCCCGGGGAAGCTCGCCCTCGTCACGCCGCCAGCGCACCGTAGGAGGTGGGTCTCCGTGCACCTCACACAGGAAGTCCACATTCTCCTCCTCCATCACCACCTGGTTCACAGGTCTCCGCACCAGGACTGGCCGCTCTGGAGAATGTAAAATATGACATAATTATTACGCTTTAGTGCCATTATGCGTTATGGTCCGTCATAATGTCCTTCCATTACCATGACAACACACAGATACCTCCCGCCTGAGACCAAACCAAACGACCCTGGAAGTTTGGCTGCTATGGTGGACAGTTGGATGGCCCATAATTTTCTACAGCTTCAAACTTCAAAAACTGAAGTATGTCCTCCTCATCAGCACTTCCCAATCAATCTACCACCATCATCAAATATCACTGCATTCGCTCGTGACCTCTGTGTTATCTCCGACACTTATCTCACCTTCTGCAATCACGTCAAACAAACCGCCCTATCCTGTTTCTTTCACCTCTGCACCATCTCTAAGATTAAAAACATTCTCACTACTCAACACATCACCCCTGTCTTTGCCATCCCTCCACTGGCTCCCTGTGCGTTTGGACTGTTTTTAAAAAAGATTTTACTGATCACTTTTAAAGCTTGTTTACGTCTGGCACCAAGCTTCACTTCTGAACCTTTTGTCCCCCACAAGCCTCCTTGGAATGAGGCTTTGCACGAAGGATGATTGAACCTTCTTGATCAGGGCTCCTCAGTTTTGGAACGATCTGCCCAAGGAGATAAAGCTAGTTTGGGAATTAGACAGCTATACAAGTGATCTGGCCTTTCGTAGATCACAACGACCCGATTGTGTATCTTCTACGATTGTGTATCCGTGTTATGCGTATATCTTTCGATGTGTGACATAACATTGACTATTTAAACCATATCCTGACTTTGTTCCGTTCAAAAAAAGACCTGAGGAAAACTGAAAAAAACTGAGAATGAACTTCCAGGTGGCTCTGGTCCGTAAAGATCCCGTCTCTGTGAGATTGATTTTCCACACTATACCATCACTATCCCCTTTTAAATGTTGAATCCGACTTCTATTAAACGCCCTTCCTTTCATTATTGATATCTTTACATTTTGTATTTCATTGTTCCACATTTCAAAACATTGGCTTTTGTTTTGTCTTTTTTGTTGTGCCCTGTGTGATTTTCTGTTTTTGTTCTTTTGGAATTTTTTAGATAATAATTACTGTTTTTATTGGGTTGCATTGTTTTATGTTGACTGCAGCCCTTTGTAAACATTGTCTTTGAAAAGTGCTATACAAATACAGATTATTATTAAATTTGCTGCACTTAATGCATGAAAAAGAGACTCACCGTAAACCACGAGCTCGGCAGGGTCGCTGTCCCTCTCCCCGACCATGTTGGTGCCCACGCACACGTACATCCCTGCGTCGCTTTTCCGTGTGTGAGAAATCATCAGTTTTCCCCCACGCATCTGCAGAAAACACTTTCAGTATACCCCAACATTTCAAAGGCCATTTAATAAAAAATGTCTGCTTCTTCTTTTATCTATTATACTTTTGTTCTGAGAGTATATCATAGGTTTCTAATAAAGCTAAAGTTTATTGAAGATTTTAAAGATAAGGAAGTATTTTCCCACTGTGAGACAAATGAAGGTTCTTTTGTCTCAAAACAAAATATAAAATCTTTTCAGCTGTAAAGAAATACCAACTGAACAGAGTAGTTATAGGCAGACTAGTTGTCGGACTGCTTTCACAGGAACAGAACACATATTAAAACAAAAAACTGGCTTTAGGTATTGAAAATAAATAGTTATAATTGGGCCAACATCACTGAGTCAGAACTACTGTACAGTGAGTTTGGGCTTTCCAGTCAAGCCGAGAGCAACACTTTGTGTGAAGAAGAGACACACTCAGTGGATAATACAAAAACAACACATCATCACTTTATGTTGTCTGAAAGAGACCAAATTAAAGGCAAAAATGGATCTAATCCATGTCCAAAATGTGGTTATTCAAATGAATTCAAATGTAAAATAGATTCCATGCCTAAAAAAGCAGAGATAAATGTGGTCTTTTTTATTCAAATTGAAAAAATAATGTGTTTGTCCTTTTATTTTGGCCGAATAATGTGTTGTCTTCCATCTTAATGTTTGGCCAAAATATTTCCATTCACAGTGCCTTCCCACAGCTGCTTCAATAACATGGCTTTCTATTCAGCTCTTTATTCATAATAGTGAATTACAGAATCTGTTCTTACATTTATTCACTTTCATATCTAATGAATCCACTTCTGAGGCACTATCTGAAGTCTGTTTATTTTCTATCAAGTCTAAAAGTCGTAAGAGTTTTGTTCACATTTTGCCCATGACAACACAGCTGTTCATATCGCTGTGGTGACTTGGGCCTGACTCACCCTGATGCGGTCATCTTTGCTACTGACTCGGACGTTGTTGCGTTTCCAAGACACGCTGGGCTCGGGGTGACCTCTGGGGGGCACACAGTCCAGGACAGCAGGCTCTCCGGCCGCCACCACCACGTCGCTGGGGGCCTGGCGGAAATCATCTCTCAGAACTGGGGAGGAAACACAACGCCACGTAATTAGATTTGAGGAGCCCAGTCCCTGTGATGCTTTTAAAACGATGTCTGGTAATGGAAAACTGCACGAGCACAGCGGACACACACTCACGATTAACATCATCAAAAAGCAAGATCCAATTTGGTCCAGGATTCATTTAAAGTTGTTGCCATCTGTGAAAGTCTGTGTCTTTTCTTCAACCCAAAGTTAGCTCATTGAGAGAAAGTCAATGATTGTGTTTGCGTGTGCTTGAGTAACTAGATCCCTGACAATATCCTCGTTAGACTGCGCTCTGTTTAAACGTTGTTCCCGCTGCTTTCGCCTGCTCTGTTGTCTCTCCTGTCAGCCAAGATGAATTATGCACGCTGCTCAGCCTCAACGTGCAGTAAACAAATGAAAGTGCATTCATAATTTAACCTGTGTGTGAGGAAGTGAGGACGGAAAAAAACACTATAGACATAAATGAGTGAATCATCTCGGTTGGTGGTGGCATCTCAAAAATCCTCTGGAATAGCCTAAGGAACAATTTATCCTCGTGTCACCCTAAAGTTTCTCAATGGCATCTTCAGTCATGGCCACCTTTGAAATCTTCTAATCTGCTGCAGTGACTGACACTTGAAAGCGCTGGTGGAACTGTGAACGGCTGCCATCTCTTTAGAGGACGTACATCGGGAACCTCCGCTGACGGGAACGCACTTTTCAAAAGCACACTTACGCCAGCGGCACCACGTGTCATCCTGGACAAAATCTTGCTTCAATGCGGTGGATGTATAAGTGTTTCAAGCCGTAATATAATCAGCGGCTGCAGCGACAGATTCATTCAGAAGTGTGGTAAATATTTCAACAACCAGATGAAAGAATGTTGGATTTTAGTTGAGTCATGGAGATACATTTGGAGACAAAAGCATTGTGGGATAGATCCCACATATGCATTACCTTTTTTGGATTGAGTGTTTTTAAATATGATGTCACGACATTATACATTTCATTACTTAGAATAAAAGACCTCTGCAGAGCATCACTGATTCTTGAGCATTCAAACCACCACTGGAAGGCGGAATGACTCACTCTCGATTGGTGCACTGACAAAAACAAATGAATAACTAATCCTAACAATTGTAAGTGCTGATCATGATCTTTGCAGAGAGCACTGAACCAATATGCCTGAAATACTAACTATATATACTACAATGACAAATGAAAAAACGGCTTCATGACAGTTTCAAAGGAAAGGGTTAATACCATAAACTGTACATTAGCAGTGGATTGACAAAGTGCTGACGTCACACAAAGTGTTAGCCCTAATGCGGAAGAGGCCGACGGAGCTAACTCGAACAGGCTATCTGAGAGGGAATGTTGAGCCAAATATTTGCCAATTTTTTTGGTAGCAACGATTGTGCGACTTGCTAGCTAAAGTCAAATTCAGCTGATTGGTCAATTGTTAGGGCTCATATTGTTATGGTTGTCATTCTTAGATCCTGCATTTGAGTTCTAATTTTGTTCCGTACCGGTCACAGAATGGACCGACCAAATTTGAAGTCAGCAGACTGCCTTTTCTTTTAAATCTCCCACACCCGATGTTTGTTCCTGGTGCTTAGTGCCCAGGCTTTTCAACCTGGAGGTTTGAGTTTTGTTTTTTGTTTCACCATTGTGGACCTCACCCTGCCCGGGCTGCCGCTTACCCAGAGCCACCGCCAAACAAGGATATCATATCTGGATATACAAAGACACTATCACAATATACACACCAGGATTGCAGAGAGCACTGAACCAATAATGTTTTAAATCCAAAATATTCAAACAAACATTGCTCATTTTAACCATTTCAAATGTTCTAACTTTGTTCAACTAAAATAGTGAGACCACATTAAGTAAATTCTCTTCTAGGATCTGCTACCAAGAACCTATGCAGCTCAAGCAGATGCTATTGCTTTGCTTAAAAGGTCATACAGTGACATAAAACTGTTCTATTGTGTTGCTGTTTGTTATTGTTTTGGAGTATTATATTCATTCTTACTGACAGAGAAAGGACCGCTCCAGGAACTGCTTCATTTGGGGCATTTAGAGAAGCGCTGCATGAGAGAAGACAGGGTAACTCGCAGAGTCCAATTTAAATTGTCTGAGTAAGACACATGTAAACCTGAAAACACCGACAAGTGAAAATCCAGTCCATTTGGCAAAACTTATCAGGACCTTTTCTTTTCCAGTTAATCCAACAGGCAACAACGTAAACTGGATACTACTGAGACATGGTGAGCAGAAGCATTTTTGTGTACAGGCCCTACTTATTTTAGAAATTTACTAATTTGCTCTTGACAGTCCCTTGCTGCATGCCATTGTTTTGTAATGAAGAAAAACATACAAAAGAGAAACATGGCTCAATGAATTTAATGTGCAGGGGACAAAGATGAAGTGAGTCCGGTTTTGTAGTGTAGACAGTTTTTCTGACCACATTAATTCACTGAATTCACTATATAAGTCTAACACTATAATGTGGAAATGTTTCAATAAAGCAATAATATCATTGCTTTGTTTAAAATGTGTATGTGAACTGGGTGCAGCTCTGATTGCCAGCCCCCCGACCCAAGAACCAATGGGAGGAAGATGGATGAATGGATGGATTTTTAACAAAGCAATGTTATCATATCTAAACAAACAATCAGAAACATACAATATTTAAGACACATATGTAATTTTAAAAAAACTCATTCAAGTCGGACATGGCTCTATTTGAATGACAATATGGCCAATATGCAAATGTTGAACTCTGGAGCTAATGGAGTGACTTGGACCACTCTGCGGCAGACACTAAGGGTCTTGCAGATACAATCGTACCAAGAGCCGCCTGTCAGTCTGCCCCAATAGCCTCGGCTCTCATTAACCGATGTAATCACCATTACTCATTACAGACATTACAATAATCCACCTAGCATCGACTTAGCCCCGCCGGTTAGCTGACTCTAAGCCAATTACTCTTGAGTACATAACTGAATCTATGCCACATTAATTATCCAGCAGTCTGTCTGTGTCAACATGGCAGCTCTGGCCTTTAATGCGCCATCAATATTCAAAAGCACTGAAGAAAAAGTGCACAATGATGAAGACTTTATCTTGCCCTGCCTTCACTCTTTATTCCAAGGGCAAATTTGTCTTGGGGCAAATTTATGGAGTATTTCGAATAAAGTGCAGACGGTTGTGCCTCGGGCTGCGAGGGGGACATTAGTATGACAAGCTCACCTCGCACAGGGCCATCTATCATGCGGTAGACGTCTTCTTCTGCAGGACCTTATTGAAATGAAGTGAAAGTTTACCAGACTTATTATCCCCAGAGCTTTTTGTATTATTTAGCACAGTGACATTTAACTAAGAGCTGCTCAGCCTCACTCTCTGACAGTCGTGAAATTTCTCATTAGCCTCCAGTCGTTCTGAATTGAACGTGGGGTTAAAGCAGGTGATAGAGTTGGAGGATTTTGAGGACAGATTGCGAAGGAAACTAAGTTATTAAAGTACTTTGTTTTAGTTTATGACTTTAGACATAGTAGTAGTAGCATTAGTAGTAGTATAGTCGTAGTAGTAGTAGTAGTAGTCGTAGTAGTCGTAGTAGTAGTAGTACACTGAAAAAAAACTCAAAATATGAGGTAATAATTGCTTGAATCAACTGTTTTTTTTTTTAAATCTTAATTTAGGTACAGTCTGACTGTCTTAAAACAAGATTTGCCAATGAGACAAACTATGTAGTCTTTTTTCAAGAAGAAGGGAGACATTTCTTGTGTATTTTAAAAACAAGATAGGAGTGTACTCAAACTGAGATGTATTTTGCAATATTTGAGCAAATTTGTACCTATTTTTTTATTTTATTTTTTTAGTAGTAACATCTTTCTACTATGGCAAAGAACATGTTAAACTGATATTTATTAATGCCCAAAACCTTATTGCACCATCCATTATCAATGGGTTCTCATTAAGATTTTTTCTATATTTGTTTGAAGAGGTGATAAACGCTTTTCGAATACACACTAAAGTAAAAGCACTTGTAAAGCACAGTTTCCTTTGTAAAAAAAAAAAAAATAATGATACAAATCCTAATTCCAGAGGTGATCCAGATCTCCCCCAAAATGTTCTAATTTGTCCTTGTGCAGAGTTACTGAAGATCTTATTTGAATATGTTTTGATTCAAACTAACCAATAGACAAACAATCCCTGGTGATTTTATTACCCCCTGGCAGAGGAAATAAAAATAACTACTTTCACTATAGAAAATATTGTCTAGTATATTATATTGTATATTCCAATTACAAAATGCATGTTCAAATTCCTTCAAAATACATTTCCACAAACTTTTACAAAATAACTATCATTAAATTAAACCATTCCCTTGTTAGTGCTCGTGTGCACAATACAGTAGAATAAAACTCTAACTTTTATTCTTCACTGCTGAAATTGTAAAATCTGCTTTCAGACACGCTAAATATCCTTAAAATCCTCCAAAAGCATGGCAATTACACAGTCTTGAGGGGTTTGGAGATAGGCGAGACCAGGCAGCTCCCCAAGGCCCTCTCACTAAATAATCTTGACCCTTTTCAGTTGGCAGCAGCTTTCCAAAGCAGAGCCGCAGGCCTAATTGAAAGCCCGTAGTATTTTTAGCCCCATACCACTTTATCCCTACCGGAATATGGGTGGAAGGGTCTTTGTCTCAATGCCATAAAATTGCAAAAAAGTTCCTTCCACTCCAAAATATCCACACCTTTAGTTGCTACTGAAACCTCTGTCATTCCCTTGGCTCATAGTGGCTTGAAACACACGCCAAGATATTTCTGACATCACTACACCCAAAAACTGTGCAACAAACTTGTCTTTGAAGCCGTGTTCAACTTAATGTGATCTGCGCCCGCTCTGACTTTAAAGGCTGCCATGCTAAAGCCGAGTTTCCCACGCTTGTTTATACGTGCCGTTGATCCCGCCACTGGAATCGACCAGGCCTCATTAAAAAGCAAAA